CCGCGACTTCGTTTCCAAAAACCGGGCGCCGCCATTTTTAAACCCCGGCTAGTTCGAATCCCGTGCCGCGCGCCTCCACGCGGCACGGAGTAGCTAGTTCAGATTAGGCTTCCTAATCCGAACTAGCTGTACTCCTCATTCCATGTAATCCGAACTAGCTACTCCGTGCCGCGTGTAGCCGCGCGGCACGGGGTTCGAACTGCCGGCATTTAAAAATGGCGCCGGCCGGCTTCATGCAAATGAAGCCCGGGAAATTCAAATCAAGTCATTTGCAAGTGCGGTATGCCTACATTACCCTCCTAGTTCGAATTAGGAGGGTAGTGTAGACATACCCAAGGATGGTCTAGATTTACTTCATACTGCCTCTGTGCAGGGTGCTGGATTCAATGCCTTATTGAGGTCCCTTCTGGCTCTACATTTGTATAGTTTTATGAAACCCTTAATTCAAATTTACTGAAAATCTTACATGCAACTCCAGGCTGCATGTGGAGTTTTGCATTCCTCCTTTGAAATGCACAAGAGCCCCTGTGGGAAAATTCCATCGACTTCTCGACTAGTAAATTAACTGATATTTAACTTCCTTAATCAGGACTGTAGCTGCTTCTTGAGACTAGCTGAGGCTCGTGCTTAACGGGGCTCCTCTCTACAGTCATGTTTCAGACTCCTCTTCCCCTTTGCCCACCTCCTCGAGGGACAGCAAATACCACACCGGCAGGCTCTGGTCGCCCTTGCAGACACCACAGCACTCTCCGTGGAACCGGACCTGCTGCACCTCCTGGCGCTGTTTTTGCAGGCTGCCCTCGTGGCACTGCTTGAGGACGACAACCAACCTGGAATGAAGGTCCCCTCACCCAGACCTAAGTGCTCCTCATGCATCACAGTCCCTCAGACGCTCACACACTGCATCCCTCTGCCGACAGAGGGATGCAAATCATGCACTTGGGAAGTGCAAATGAGCCCGGGATTTAAATATCCCAGGCTTCATTTGCATACTCACACTCTGGCACTGTGCCAATCACGCATCCTTTCGAAAGGGAAAGTAAAGTGTAGCCGAGGCTCTGCCGATATCAGGGAGCTATTTCAGCAGATCCTGTGCTCCTCATTTTTTGAGTGCAGAGCTACAGCAGTGATGGCTGCCCAGCGGATCCAGAACTTGGATATTAGGAAAAACTATTTCTCTAGGAAGGTGGTGAACTACTGGGATGGGCTCCCTAGGGAGGTGGTGGAATCTCCATCCCTAGAGGTTTTTAAGTCCCAAGTTAACAAAGCCCTGGCTGGGTTGATTTAGTTGGGCTTGGTCCTGCTTTGGGCAGGGGGCTGGACCTGATGACCTCCTGAGGTCTCTGCCGCCCTGGAATTCTATGATTCTATTCTATGAACTTTCTCATGCAGAAGGATACTTTCATGGAGCTCCGCGAGTGGCTCGCCCCTGCTGTCCAATGACAGGACACCCGCCTGAGACCTGCCATCCCCCTTCCAGAAGTGAGCTGCCATCGCCATCTGGAAGCTCGCCATAGCGAACAGCTACCTCTCCATCGGGAACCAGTTTGACGTAGGGAGATAAACCATCGGGGCCATGCTCATGCAGGTATGATTTTCTTGCTATTGTCCCAGGAGGGCAGTGAACTGCTGACATGGGATTCCCTTGGGAAGGGGGAGTGGAATCTCCCTCCCTGGAGGTTTTGCAATCCCACCTTCGCAAAGCCCTCCCAGGGATGGGGCAGTTCGGCTTGGTCCTGCTGTGGGAAGGGGCTTGGGCTCAGGGAACTCCTGAGGGCTCTGGCAATCCTGTGATTCTATGTTCCTATGTTTTTACAGGCAATGAGGGCCATCAACACAACCCTGCTGTGCAGGGGCATCATCCTGGGTGATATGGATCCCATCATCACTGGCTTTGCTGCCCTGGGCTTCCCCGACTGTGCGTGGGGGGCCACTGATAGCACCCACATCCCCATCCCGACCCCCAACCACTGAGCCTCTGGCTATATAAATAGGAAGGGTGCACTTGGGGCTGCCATCGCAGCAGAGAAGACAGTGCAGGGGTCTGGAATTTGGCACAGGGCTGGCAGACCACAAGCCTTCTCCCTTCTGTCTGCACCTTTAAAGGCTGCAGGGGAAGGGAAACTAGAGTTTTGATGGATGTGGACAGAGTGGCCACCAGGGCAGCTATGAGAAGCTCTGGAGGCCAATTACTTCAAAATAAGCACAGCTGCACCATCCACACAAACCTATTATACGAAATAATTGTGAAATAACGGGCTTGCTGTGTGGACACTCACCTTGTTATTGCAAAATAATGCTAGAGTGTATTAGAGATTAACAGACATATATATATATATATATATAGTAGCATGAGCTTTTGTGGGCAAAACCTACTTTCTCAGATGAGCTAGAGCCGGGCTCCTCAACACGCAGCCTGTGGGCCACATGTGGCCCACGGCCCATCTGTTTGCTGCTTTTTGTGTGGGTTTGGGTTTATGGCCCGCGGGTGGGAGCCAAAACAAAAAAGCAGTCATTATAATGGTCTTCTGTTGATATGTGTTTTAGTAATTAAATTCCTGGACTGTCATATGGGTGGAAATCAGGTAAATATTACATTTTATTAATATCAGGGGCCTGCGTGTTGTGTAGTCTTGCCTTAATCTTTATATTCATGCCCATCAATATGAACAAAACTACATATATATATTTGCATTTATATACAACCACGCTTAAGTTGCAGCCCTCGGCATGTGCTGTGAGTATTCCTGTGGCCCCCAAGTGCTTCCAAAGTTGAGTAGCCCTGAGCTAGTGTCCACTATAATAGCTAAAAACTGTAGCCCCTCCTGTTCACTAGCCCAGTATAAGGTTATTCATCATAGGGGAAGCTTTGTGATCTTTTACACAACTCTGGGAGACTAGGCCTGAGGCTCCTTTGTGTGCTCTGCATTGTGTCAGCGTGTGTACACCTCACACCAGATCCACTCTGGATCCATCAGGAACAGGCTTTATTCTGTAAAGAACACAGAGCAGGATCAGCAGCCTCCTCTCTGCTTGCAGCCTGTATGCTCCCAGCTCAGTCAGGAAGCAGGAAGTTCTCCCAACATGCCACAGTTTGTAGTTCCAAGGGTTGCTCCTGCAGCACACTGGACCTTGCAATATACTCTTCCCTCTGCTTATTGAAAGGGCAACCTTGTCCCTTTCCTTAGTCAAAACCCACTCTGGTTGAATACTACTGTACATGCCATCCCCTTTTTTAGTATATTTCCACAAGCTTCCAGGTGCATATAGTCTCACAGCAGTTTTGGCCAAAACCCCCAGTCTTTACTCTTCTTTCATCAGGCAGCCCCCTGTTCCAAATCGAGACGGACAGGTGCCTGCACTGTCTTGTTTAGTGCTGCGAAGCTGGTAGGTTATCTCTAGGCACCTTTTTGGTCTGATCCCATTCTGTCTGCCCTTCTCCAATCCAATTTGGTTTGTTTCGTTAGTCTTTAAGGTGCCACAGCACTACTCATGATAATTATCTGTTCTGTTCATTCACTCTGGCATTGGCCACTGTTGAAAGACAGGATACTGGGCTAGATGGACCTTTGGTTCTTATGTTCTTACGTAAATTATTACACTAAACAGCTGTTTTTATTTCAGGTAAAAGCTTCAAATCAAACTTGACCTTTAACTCTGATTTGGCTCTATACATTGTTTAGTTCTTTTGATTCCTCTTAGGGTGTGCCAGACAGTTTCAAAAGCCACCTGAAAACAAAGGCTCATAGCTTCCCATTGCTTTGTCTGGCATCTCCCATCCCTACAGAAAACCAGGTTCAACCACAGTTTAGGCCAGAGGCGGGGAACCTAAGACTTTCCTGGATCTGGCCCCCAAGATTCAGGGCTTCCCTCCCCAGCATTGGGGAGACCACAATGGCACTTCCCCTGCTGCTTCCCCACAGGGCTGGAGCACACAAAATGTACTAGCCTGGGCCCCACTAGGTTCTGGTGTGCCATGGGAATGTGGGGAGTGTCTTGCTCCTTCTCAGTTGGAGGTCATGTCAGTGAGGATGTGCGGTTTTTGTTTTATTCTTGTTTGCGTCTCATTTCTATGCATCTCCCAAATGATTTTAATGTGGGTCAGCAGTCCCTCCGCCCCAACAAAAATGTTTCCCCATCACTGATTTAAGTCCACAAGACAAACAAGGCTGTTCATGGATCATTGAGTTGATCACAAAGCCATTAGGTTTTGAGGGTCATCAATGATAAGCGTCATTAGCACATTTAGAATTATAAACTGATCCATGCTTCATATTTATAACTTCACAGACAAGAATGATACACGCACAAAAATAGACTATACAGACCCAGCAGACTGTAGTTCTAAGATTGATGTCACATGCCCTGTTTTGCATGAAGCATCTTTGAGTTATGCTTATTCATATTCATAAGCCAATTTTCATAAGACATGGGGGGCCAACACAGAGGTCACAACAACTGATAGAGATAACACAGTTAGCTGCATTAACTGCCTGCTCAGAACAGGGTTATGCAGCCATATCAGTGATCATTTAATATTCCCTCAGTCCTGAGTCTCCTGATTACCCGACCCTCTGCACATTTTAGTATTGGTTATAAGACTATAAGTATGATACATAATGATTTGCTGTATAATGACTTGCTTATAAGTTCTGTATGCTTCTATTTTAACGTCTCTTAATTAGACAAAGTTTACCATAAGGCCTTGCTCCCTGTTAGCATTACCACAAACTAAGTTGTGCAAGATTCCTTTCGTTGTGCTGTTCCTTTAGTAACTATTAGGCTTGTCTGAAACTCTGCACAATTGTGTGGTGTGAGTGAAGGATGCAGGTAAGTCTGAAAGACATCACAAATGCCCAGGTGATCAAGAAGTGGGAATCTTGAAGATAACCAGGAAACAGCCATTGTGTCTGAGGCTGAATTAAATTAGCAGCATTGACAGAATTTTGGAGACAGGCAGAGACCCCCAAGAGTGAGAGACAATCACTATCAAAGGATAACTTTGGTTAAGCTAAAAGGAGTAAAAAACGAGGGTGATATCATGCTAGGAGTCTACTACAGGCCACCTAGCCAGGTGGAAGAGGTGGATGAGGCCTTTTTTAAACAATTAACAAAACTATCCAAAGCCCAAGATTTGGTGGTGATGGGGGACTTCAACTATCCAGACATATGTTGGGAAACTAACACAGCGAGGCACAGGCTATCCAATAAGTTTCTGGACTGCATTGGAGACAACTTTCTGTTTCAGAAGGTTGAAAAAGCTACCAGAGGAGAAGCTGTTCTGGATTTGGTTTTAACAAATAGGGAGGAACTAGTTGAGAACTTGAAAGTGGAAGACAGTATAGGGGACAGTGACCACGAAATAATAGAGTTCATGATCTTAAGGAAAGGTAGAAGGGAGACCACCACAATTGAGGTTATGGATTTCAGGAAGGCAGATTTTGATAAGCTCAGAGAACTTGTAGGTAAGGTCCCATGGGAAGCAAGACTGAAGGGAAAAACAACTGAGGAGAGTTGGAAGTATTTCAAAGGGACGTTGTTAAGGGCCCAAAAGCAAACAATTCCGCTGTGTAGGAAAGATAGAAAATATGGCAAAAGACCAGCTTGGCTTAACAAGGAGATCTTGCACAATCTCAAAATAAAAAAGGAGTCATATAAAAAATGGAAACTAGGACAACTAACAAAGGATGAATATAGGCAAGCAACACGGGAATGCAGGGGCAAGATTAGAAAGGCAAAGGCACAAAATGAGATCAAACTAGCTACAGGCATAAAGGGAAACAAGAAGACCTTTTATAAATACATTAAAAGCAAGAGGAAGACCAAGGAC